GGGATCTCTAGGAGCGCGTTCCCTTCCTGTCCAGGAGCACATTCCACTGTGCCCCACACAAAACTGCAGTTAAAACACAAAGAATAACAAAAACATGGGGTGAAACCAAGACAACCTCTGGGCAGAAAATTATTCAGTGACTCCAAAGAGATGAGACACGTCCCATCTTCAAATGCAGTGAATTTGAGCAGTAACATCAAAATACACACTCTTAGCAGTTAATGCTATGAATGAGGTTTATGTTTATTCACCTATATATAGAAGCAAACACCATAAACTACCTTCTTTTAACTAATGTACTATTCATACATACAATTTATCTATTCCTTACCTGAACATTATGAGGGTCAAATTCTAGGACAGCCTCTAATGCAGGACAAATTACTGCAGTTCCTACAAAGATTATATAAACATTTCCAGTATTTTATAGAAAGATGTAAACAGGCAGGAATGTTTCCAGCACAAATGGGAATATTCAGATGGGTATCTATGTATTCAGATTTAATGAAATTTGCCCTGCCCTGCTTTGAGTTACATCCCCAAACACCTTCTCCAGGGCATGCAGGGACGTTTCTGAAAACAAAATACCTAGAAAACAGATAAATCCTCAAGCTTGCAAATGGTCACACATTCCCACAGTGTTATGTTTTCAGTAGGATTGAACTACTCACTGGAAAGAGAATTTTAAAGGTTGCTTTTTTTAAGATATTTAGGGAACACAGCTCACCAGTTAGTAAAGAATTCACTCTATAATAAGGCATTTTCTGCTTATAGAATAGAACAAAAGCATTAGCTCTAAAACAGTCTTAGATCTAGCAGATTTAATAGAATATTAAAAAAAAAAAATCAAGAAACAACCACATCTACATTATATACTGCTGAAATAAGACTCTCCTTTGCTGAACACCACCCCCAGGTTGGGCTTTTTTTCCAGAGCTCTATTAATTGAAAACAATAATTTGTTTTCTCTTTTGTAAAACGTAAAAAGCACAGAATTTGTCTTTAAAATATAGTTGTCAGATATCAAGGGGTATATATATGCTAACATTTACCCTAGAGGTATTTCAGGGCTAGAATCCGTTACAAATAAAATCTTTATTCATATGAACAGCTACCTGGGGGGCAATACTGAATGTTATACATAATATTTTTATTTATATATATATATATATTTAAAATAATATAGCAGTACTATTAAAAGACACTGGAAGCTACACTGAATTTAGTCGTTCTGTTTTACAGTCCTATGCTACTAACTTTTTGGAGATTGAATTACTTTCTGTAGAGGATAGCTCCTAAAATATAAACTCCTTTCATCTAATGTGTCATACCAGCATTTTGCTACCTGTAATTTAATAGATTGCTCACTATAATAAAGAAAATAATTACAGGAAAAAGAAAAGCATTTTTGTTTCTCATTAAATTGTGCAACAGCATTTTCAAATTTGAGAACTTTCCCTGAATTAAGAATTTTAAAAAGGCTAAAGAAAATATTTTTTTACATGCTTTCTAGAATTACAGAATAGTTGCTGTGTGCTATGGAAAACAATTTTAGGCTAAAGATCAGACACCCACATTTATCAAGAAGCTGAAGCTGTCTGAAGAAGTTGAGAGACAAAGCAGTGAGCACAGCCAATCTGCAGAGTGCCAGCAGACAGAGGAGGCTCTGCTGGACCTTCCAAATCCATGGAATGAAGATAATATCCCACCAACTGCTGACAAAACTCTCAGATGGTTGAAAACCTTGTCTAGAGAAAACAGACAGTAATTCCTCCCTTTTTCAGTGCACTTCAAATGCTATGATTTGGAAACTGCCACTACAGGAATGCAACTCCTTGCACCAATGCAACATCCAAACACCTTCTTTCCAATTAAGGAAAAATCATCTGTGACTCTGAGCAATTAAAATTCAGTCTGTGGCTGCTGCACATCAATCTGTGTCATCATTCCAAGATCTCTAGGCAAGTGATCCACCTTTAAATACTCCTTCTGGCCTTCTAAGTTGAAGGGATTCTGGATGCTTGGGCTTCCCATTCCTCAAGGTTCCCATGCTTCTCTCAGGAGATGACAGAAAACATGAGCTGGTTTAACACATTGCTCGACAAAGCCAAGGAAACAGAAAAGCAAAACTTTTCTGGAGAAATGCAGCACAGATTTTGCATGGGAATTAATATAAATCCAGGCAGTGCTGCAGATCAAACACTGAGGGTCCAATATCTTCCGTAACAGCTCTGAGTGCTCCCCGTGGAGGGTGAGGACACCTTCTCCCCGTGACAATCCCAGGGAGATCTCCACGTTCCTGGGAACATCATATTCCTGCTCACCCAGAGAGCGGCCGTACAGTTCACAAAAGTAACATTAAATGCCCTGTTCGTTACCAGCTCAGCTTTAGTTTGTGCACAAGGGAGGACACGTCTGTTCTCCGATAAAACAATTAGCAAGTTCATCACAGAAACTCTCTGCTCACTGCAGTATCTGAATTTAACATCTAAAGCTCTGTACTGCATCCTTTGTTTCAAAAGCACTTTTTAAGACTACTCCTTAACTCGCTGAGTGTCACACTTAAACAAACAAACCTTCCTGCTCCCAAAAATCAGCTTATATGGATACAGTCCTGTAAACATATCCATACTACTTCTCTAAAATACATCCAACATCATACTGAACAGCATCGGTATTACTTCTCACACACACCGGGATCTTGAAATAAAGTACTGTTTGAACATAAAGATTTAGTAAGGCAGCTCCGCTATTACAAGTGTTTGCACTTGAAATATCCGTGACCTTTCTGCACTACTAAACATACAAATAAAAACAAGGTATTTATGAAATGTCACATTTATGGAAAGCAATTGGAAAAGACAGGGTTTTTTTCTGTAAATAATATCAATATTATAAGTAATGCAAATTTGGTATTTCCCATTACCTCATAAGAAGGTTGAAATATTTAAAGGTGCAATTCCAAACACGCAGTATTGCCAGTTAGCAACTGAATTTTGTCTTTACAAACTGCTACCTGGGAAGCTGATCTTCAGTGGTTATTAGAAAGCTTAGAAATAACAGAATTAAAATTAATTTTAATCAATGTGTTTTCTAATAGGAGAGTAGTCATCCTTACTAGGTTGAATCTGATGCACTTATACTTTCAATTTAATAAAATAATCAAAACATTCAATTACAAAACAAGCATTAAAAATGTGCAAGTAAAGTAGAAGGTACCTCTAATCAGTTTTCCTCTCACCAGCCATATCAGCCCTTGATCCTAAAATTTTATGCTGCCTGCGAGGACAAGGTACAAATTCTATTTTAACCATCGCATCTTTGTCAACTTTGACTGTTTGATTCCCTCTGCTCCAACCCGAACAGCACCAGCAAAGAAAACGCTTCCCTCTCCTTAAGATGCTCCATTGGTTAGATCAGATTTATTTGCTGTCAGTAAAGGTTGTATTTGCACATAAGTCTATGACAGATTGCAAGTTTATTAACTTCAAGTGAGTTTTCAGGCTGCTGGGTTGAGGTTTTTTTGTTGGGTTATTGGGTTTTTTTGTGGGATTTTGCTTTTTTTGGTTTTTTTGTCAGCGCTCCCTCCCCCTTTCCCCAAGATGTGGGTTACTTGACAAATTGGAGTTAAGTTATCTTAGGTCAATGTAACTGTAAGTTAAACTAATGAAGTGTATGTCTATGAGTGATGTCTGATTAGTTTAATGCAGTTAGTGCTGGACAGCTTGGGCTGCTGACCTTGAAGGAACACAGATAACATTGTGATGCGTTGGAGGATGTGGTTGTGATACAAGACAAATTTACATAACAGTTTGTCATGTACACTCCTCCAAAACAAAACTGTTGCAAAAAGAAAGCAAGAGGAAACCAACACTAAATGCCTCGCACAAGACAAAACGGGGAAAATTAATTATAACATTTGGCTTGAGGTGGGAGATTATTTTAAATGGGAGCCAAAAGCAGGCACAGGAAAGGTGTACATTTACACAATACGTGTTCCAAGATGTCTTAGACATTGTCCTGGGTAACACTGAGCAAATCCAGCCTTCTACAGCACAAATCTACTCTTGAAAAATGATATTCCTTCCTCAGGAAGCACCTACTCACTCACAGTAAAAAATACCAGACTCAGTTCTGAACTGTGACTCACTGGCACATCATTCAGGTGTGCTCAGAGTCCTCCTGAAGTTCATTCTGCAGCTGCTTGTGCTAAAAGAACCCTGTGCATGAACAGCCTCTCCCCATGAAGGTGCACAGTCCCCACACAATGTTCTGCATGCTGTGAGCAAAGCTCTATCTCACTGCTCCAGACAATCACCTCGCCACATCTCATCTGATCAGGTAGGCCAAGCAAAACTGCTGGGTTTAGAGACAGCTTGGCTCTGGAGGGGCTGATTCTCACTATGTGATAGCTATCTTGTCGACCTAAATCGCCTGTTTTTATCAGCCCAGGTTCTAGCTGATGGAAATTTGCTACTTACATAAATGTATAATTGACACCCACAGTTGCTGGCACGTTACTGAACCGGACCATCATTAAGATAAATCTGCTCCCTTAATCCTGCAGGTCAGCCTGAGCAGGACACTGATAAATCAGACTTGCTAATAGATACACGGGAGGGCATGTGAGGAAGCTTGCAGTGTTCACATTTGTGCCATCTCTCAGTCTAATCTGCGAAGCACAGTTTAAACCTTTCAGAATGAGTGAGCTCACATGATAAATTTCAAATAAGAAATACACATACATGTATAGACATGAGGTACCCAGATACTGAGAGACTCTCCCCGACTGGAGATGCAAGACAAAACAGTCCTGGAAATTCTAAATAAAACATGTAATTTCTCAGTTATACCCCAAGAAGAAAAACTTGTGATACCCACTGCACATTCCTAATTGCTCCCACATACACCCTTGCATATAAACAAGGAGTAAGTTGAAGAGACCTGGTTGAAGGCATCTGTGTGATTTGAGTTTAGAAATTATTCAGTTCCTTGGTTACCTGTAATTTGAACTTATCGGCACTGTTTGCATGAAATAAAGAGCAGAAGTCCGTGCCTTCCAATGCCACTTCTTGGCTGGGAGTGTGCAGAGAACACAATCTTCTTGCAGCTCTTCCTGGAGAAGATCCATCAGCTGTTTGTGGGAGCCACCATAAAAGGGTTCAATGAGAAGGACACTCATTTTCCAAGTACTTCAGAACTGTCTGAAACCTGAAAATGAAAATAGAGAAGTATATTACTTTAGAAACATATCTTTCTTTTTATTATTATTATTGTTACTACTTAAGAAAATTATATTGGAAAAAAAATAAATATACTCCAAGGCCTTGTAATGTAATCCTTAATATTATATTAATGAGTTTACTTCAGAAAAGACTACTTAGCAATTATGATGACTAGATTACTTTGACCTTTAAAAGATACTGTCTGTAAATTTTAAATGAATGAAAATGTGCAAGACTTAGGAAAACGTATTTTCAATGTATGGGTTTGTTTTAAATCCGATATTTAAAAACAGCTTTGCTTTACACACTAACTCCCTAACACGGTCAATTATTCCATGACTTAGGATGTAGCTTATTCATTCTAATATAGGTTTCCCTCCTTCTCCTGGTGGCAGAAAAAATGAAAGAGCAATTCAAACACACTTCATCCAGTGATTTGGGTAAGAGACAAAGGCAGGGAGCAGCTTGAGGAGATGCAGTTGGGGCATCCCCCAGGACACCCTCCTGCACTGCTGGGATCACAACCCCAGCAACAACAGGAGACGTAAACCACTTTATTTCTTCTGAGTACTCCAAAGTGGGTGGAAGAGAACACTAGGGGAGGCTCAAGGAAGCTCTGAGAAAAAAAGCCACAGAGCTGCTCACAAACAGGATGCAGAACGTGCTGCCCAAAGCGAGGGGACAGATGAAAACCCGGTGACTATTGCTCATAGCCCTCATGAGTCACACCCTTGGGGTACTCAAAAGCTGCTTTTCACATGCTTCGAGCAAAGCCACCACACACAAAAGCTGAAAGCAAAACCCTGAAAGGTGTTCACCATCCACAAACACCTCTCTGACGGTTTCCCTCTCAACTCTCCCTAAGAATGATGGACTCCCCACTAAACTCAGTTACTCCAGACTCGTGTTTGACACTGTCCATTGCAAGACCTTACATCCATTTCCTGACCTGCAATTTCTAGTGGTTTCAGACTGCAATCCTTATCTTACCAAAACCTCTGGTGACAAGAAATGAGAACTCAACAGAGAACTACATACTCTCCTGAAAATCTCAATCATCATCTCAACCATAGTTGAGAAATTTAGTTTGATTCAAGATCAGGTTAAAAATATTATGTATTCTGTAATCAGAGGGCAGAAAGCAAACAAAAAGCCTTTTAAGTGCACTGTAGCTATCATAAGATCAGTTAACCAGCAACAAAAATCCAAACACTGAATCAATTTAATTGGCAGACAAAACATAAGAAACCTTTAGGTCGTTTTTTGTTGCTGGCCCACCATGGTGCCAGATGAAATGGTGATGGAGAGCTTCTGGGTCATTACAGAACAATCAGCAAGAGGAAAAACATTCCATGCTACAACTTTATTGTCCTAATCCAGCCCGGATTCAGGTTATAATTTGCTTTATTATTCACTCCTCCATAATATTTCAAATAAATGACTTGTTTTAACAAATACGTTCTTTACAAAGCCAAAAGGAAAGCCATCTGGAAGCAGATACTTCACTCCATTTTGGAGCTTGCTTCTTTTCAGGTAGCAAAGCAGTTTCTGATCTCTTTTCCACTGACCTAATTTCAAGAAAATCACACTTTTGAGATCACTGACGTTTTCTGAATTTACAATGATGTAACCAAAATCATAATCTCTCCTCCAAAGCCCTTTTGGAGTCTGCAGGGTAATAACTGCTATAAAAACACAAGCTGTGGTTTAGAATCTGCACTATTCACCTAAAGAACAATTTGTAATTAATCATGCTATGCTTGTCATCAAATGCCACCGAAAATTTAATTCAAGGGACTAAAGGGAAGTGTTTTATAAATTCAGCCCCTAAAAATGGGGGTATGTGAAGAGTTGGTAAAAGCCACTGAGTCAGTCACTCGGGGAGGCTTGCAACTAATTTACAAATCATTAGCAGTATCAGTAATAAAGCAATTTGTTCATGAAGCATCTGATCAGATCACACTTCACCAGACTAGTTCTGAAACTGGTTTTATCACCAGGTTTAGCTGAACCCACACTGTGCTCTTTGGTTTTATTTTGCACCAGTTTTCACTGTACATCCCTCACGGGAACAGAGAATGACTGTACATGCTGACAGTAAGAGATTGCTCAGTCCTCGTGTTTCCTCCTGCTTAAAGACCCTGACATTTAGTTTATTATTCTGCATTTACCTACCTTTACATCTATTAGGGAAACTGCAATACACAAGTATTACTATACAATAAACCCCCTTTGGCTATTTGCATTGGGAAACTGGGTTGAATCGTGGATGTGGTGGATGTGTCGTGGAGTGGGTGTTAAAATAGCTCTTGATATGTAATTCTTCACAATAACACTCATAGACCCCGTGGCAGCAGCCCATGAGGGTGACAATCAGCAATGACACATTTTTTTCAGAGACGACCTAAAGCTCAAAGGTTTTCTTACAAAACTCATTCGCTCCAAAAAATGTAGGTACTGCTTATTGAAATCCTCACTAGCACTTGTAGGATTCTGCTGTTGTGTGATCTCTATATATTACCAGCAATATACAACAAATTTAATTCAGAAAAAATGTTATCATGTTATGTAAGAAGTAGTAAATGGTTTATTTTATTCTTTTTTGTTGTTTGTTATTTTTAAATATGATGCTGCCTACATAAGATACTACTAAAGGACAATGGCAGTATAATATATGTCACATTCACTTCAGGGCTCGACTAAGATGAAGCAACTAAAAAGTCAATAAATCTTCTGTTTTTAAAAGATACACTGATAATGCTAAGGAAATTATATTACACATAACTAATAATTTCTTCTACTTAGAAAGACACAGAGGAGGTAGGACATGGTCGTTTGGCTCATATTTCACCCACATGACTTCCAGTTTTGTTCACATACAAAAATAACAGCTATTATTTTTGCTTTATTTCCCTTGACCCAGCCAAGTTAAGGTAAATATGTACCATAAACTCCTCAGAGGTCTCCAAAAGACACAGCTGATAAATGGCCTGAGAACATTCACCGTATCTGATGGAATGCAATCCTCAATTAAATATAAATCACTCCAGGTATTCTTTTCCCCATTTCAAAGAAAACAACAAATATTAGAAAAACAGAACTGCTTCCCCTTTCTCATTACAGTATTTCCTCTCTGGAGCCAGCAATCCTGGGTGTTCCTCAAACAGCTCAACCCCATCCACACGGCTGCAGGATACTTTCCTTTGAAAATTTCCTACTCTGTCTTTACCACACAGAGCAGCACATTCCTCAGGATACACATTACACATCTGAAAAAAAAAATCCTTCCAAGTGGCAACAGTGTCCAAATGACATGACTAATAGAGAGGTATATTGAAGTACTGAGAAGTGTAGGTTGGTAATTAGGTCTCAAAGCCAGCCGCTCACAGTGACATTAAGCCAGGACTTTTGTCACTTGCTGCAGCTCTACCCCACACTGAAACATGGCAAGTGATGGAGTCTCTGAAAGGGCCACTGCTGTTTGAACCAATAATTTCCTTTTAAAAGGAAGTCTGAGTACGGTACAGAGTAATAAATAAAAATTATCTTTAAAGGCATGGAAGAATTAACTGTTCAACCAGCCACAAAACCATGGCTTCTTTTTAAACTCTATGTGAATGCCAACTTAGGTATTTTCGTTAACCAACCTAGGCAGAGAAAACCCATCATTTTCCACAATTTATTAAAGAACACACACTTACTCTTACATGCAGAAGTGTGGTTTCACAAACATCAGCACAGCACACATCAGGAAGCCATAATTAGCTCTGTTCATTGACGTACTCAGACAACATAAATTACAGACCATGTCTGAATATCTGTCCAACAAAACAGCTGAGCAACCATCCAAACCCAAAGGAATAATTGTTAATATATTCCACAGGTAGAGATCTGCTATTAGTTACAGGAAATAAGGTATATGGTTTCAGTAATGATTGTTTTAACCGTCACAGTCCCACACATATGAGAAATTTATTCCGCCGCCCTATCCGAGCACACGTGGTTCAGAGTCTCATAACTCAACCCACTGCAAAACCCACCAGGTACAACCTGTGGACATCAACACACTTAAACCTTTGATGGTTTCACATAAACTCGCTGTGATGGCTGACACAGGCAAAAAAATTTCCATGTTACACGTTGCAATAAAATGAAATTTTCCAAAGGACTTTTGAGAGTCCCTTACCTTTCCTCCTCTGTCCCTTCTCCTTCCCATCCCTACCTGAAGGGGGGATGTGCTGTAAATACACACACACACAGATTGAAAGAGCCTGCACTGCCCTCCCACTCATGACAGTGACTCACCGAAACCCCAAAGCTGTACCTTAAACACAATCACATCTTAAGGTTTGACCAAAATTTAACTTGTATCTAGACAACCCAAAAGTACCAGTTCTGGGGTTTGTCATTACTGAACTGCATAAGCGAAAATGACAATTTATCTTTTATATAAACCAACTGGAAAAAGCAAGAAATCCTCCACTTCTTTTGAGAATGTGGTAAACCAAAATCGTTCACCTGTGTTTGGATGGCTGAGCAGCAGTAACATTTATTTACTGGGGACACCCATAAACCACAGTCTGGCCCATGCACACAACCTGAGAGCTGCAAACACCTACAGAATGCCAAAATCTACCATTACCTGGAGGCAGGAAGGAATGAAACTTGCATGGCTTTCCTGGCCTGTTTTGGTTTCACTAAAATATCACATCTCATTTTTACTGTACTTATGATCTACACACACAGGGAGTGACAGAACGAGGAGAATAGCTTTAAACTGAAGGAAGGTAGGCTTACATTAGAAATTGGGAGGAAATTTTTCCCTGTGATGGTTGGGAGGCCCTGGCACAGGTTGCCCACAGAAGCTGTGGCTGCCCCGGGATCCCTGCAAGTGTCCAAGCCCAGTTGGGCAGGGCTTGGAGCAGCCTGGGGTAGTGGAAGGTGTCCCTGCCCATGGCAGTGGTGGCACTGGATGAGGTTTAAGGT